TATGCCTTCGTACTAAATAAGAATTAACAGAGTTTATATCCAAATAATTCGTTCAATGTTCTATTACTCATTATTGATTATAGGTAACTAGAGTTCCATTAATAGAACATGCTTTCAATGCAACAACGACGCGCGCGACGGACGGACGACGCGACAACGAACGGGACGACGACGACGACGACGACGACGACGACGACGACGACAGTGATATATCCTTCTGCACGTGAGGACTTATTACCAGCGACGTGGGATATACGACGATGTCGGACATTTCTGTCTCTTGCGAACATCACGTTACCTCTCTCAGACGCATCCTTGCTGATCTTCAGCTCTAATGGTCTAGCACTGCGGGCGGTTTCTGTGAGATACTGCTCACATTTGATCCTACTCACATCGTCCGATTGCTTCAGACTGCGAATCACGATCTGCGCGTTGAGATTCCTCACTCGCTTCAGCTGTTTCAAGGAAGGAGAAGGACAGAGAGGATGGCTTCGTGATGCCGTATTGTGCGGATAGGCAAGGAGCCACACTACTACTACGATACTACTACTACTACTACTACTACTACTACTACTATACTCTAACTACTCACTACTACTACTACTACTACTACTACCTATACTACTACTACTACAGTACGAACTACTACTACTACTACTACTCTACTACTCCTGCTACTTACTACTACTTACTACTAGCTACGACTACTACTACTACTTACTACTACTACTACTACTACTTACTTACTACTACGACTACTACCAGAACGAGTAAGATGACATAAAGGCATACTTTATTATCTTACTCCTCCTTACTAACTTACTTACCTACTACTATTACTACCTACTACTACTACTACTACTCTCTTACTTACTTACTACTACTACTACCTACTACTTACTACTACTACTACTACTGCGCTGCTGCTACTACTCTAGTTACGTACTACTACTACTACTACTACTTACTACTACTTACTACTCTACTATACCTACTATACTACTACTACTACTACTACAGCAACGACTACGACTACTACTACTACTATACTACTAGCTACTACTACTACTACTACTTACTACTACTAACTACAACACTACTACTACTATTACTATACTCCCTACTACCACTCTACTTGAGTACGTGTAACATCTGTACCTTAGGTAGAGAGCGCGCGAAGGCGGTGAACGTAGTTCCACCGATGATGAAGCTAGCAGACAGAGCTCTAGCTTGACGGCGTGGATTGTGGGCAGGGATGAACGTAATGGGCGACGGGGGGCCCCATGAACGACCCAGACGAGCCCGGC